CGGACTTATAGAGCAAACTAAAATTCCTCTAGGCAAAATATTTCAGATTTGGAAAATAATTTTACCCGAAACATTGCAGTATAGAATTCATTTAATTAAACTGTATCATGAAAATATAAAAAATTAGATCATATTGAGTATTATTTGATAAATTATATAAAGAGCATTGAATTGCTTCTTTAATCAAATTAGATAACTATCAGTTTAATATTTAAATAAAACCTGTCTCAATAAACGTGTTGTGCAAAATCACTCTACCTTGTCAAAATAATTTATCATTCTGCTTATAAATAGAAGATGATAATTGCAGTGATTCTTTCAAATCGTTATATTTTCAATATCCCTGTGAATATAGTGTAGAATGTTCTGGTTACCATTTAGAACCAAATAATGAAGTGTTGTATGAAGATACAGAGATACTTGGTGAAGCTTCAGTAGTTAAAGCTCAACTAGAAGAACCAATTTATGATGAGGATTTGATTCAACATGATGATAACAATGATAATGATAGTGAAGAACAAATAAATAAATTAATATTAAATACAGATAAGAAATTTGATACATGAGACTTAGCTAATAAATTCCTTGATGACTATGCAAAACAAGAAGGCTTCTATATATGTAAAAAAAGGCGTACATTAAATTCAAAAGATAATACTATTATAAGACATCAAATATATGAATGCTCTTATGCCGGTATATATGAACCTCAGAAAGAAATTCTAGAAAAGAACAGAAGGGACCGAGATTCATATATGAGTGGGTGTTCCTGGCACATTATCCTTGCTTTTCCTAAATCTGCTGATAAAATTCAGGTTAATAGTATAATTGGTAACCATAATCATGACTTGAATCCTCTCATTGCTGAAATAGCACCAAAATTCAGAAGGTTAACAGATGAAATGTTGGAAAAAATTAAATTTTGGACAATTCATAGAAGAATAGGTATAGTGACCCAATACAATCTACTAGTTGCATCATTTTTATATAAAGTAATAAATAAAAAAGATTTGAGTAATACTATACAAAAATTTAAAAAACAAGCAAAACCAAATAAAAATGATACATGTAATATGCTTACCGTATTATATTTAAAAAAAGATGATGATCCAAGGTGGATAGTAAAGCCTTGGTTCGAGCCAGATAAAAGAAGACTAAATTCATTGTTTTGGATGTCTTCTGATCAAGTTAATGCTTATAAAAAATATAAGGATGTTGTAATTATTGATACAATATCTAAAACTAACCAATTTGATATGATATTAATGTTAGTTATAGTTGTTGACAATAATTTTCGAAATTTAATAGTAGCTGCTGCATTTTTAGAAGATGAAACAGAGCAACATTCACATGGGTTCTCCAAGAATTAAAAAATTCTTGCGACTCTGCTCTGGTAGTTTTATATTCTGATGCTGATTTAGCATTAATATCGTCTGTAAAGAATAATTATCCAAAGACACGACATCTTCACTGCATTTTTCACATTGATCTAAACTTAAAAAAAAAGCTTAAAGGGAAGTTGAAGGATCAGTTTGAATCATTTCGTTCTAAATTTTTAATGATGCGTAATTCACTTTGCTATAATAAATTTGAAACCCAATAGAATATACTTATCAATGAATACCTGGATTGTAAAAACTATCTTATAAGAACTTTATATCCTTGTAAGAGTAGTTGGGCTAATTATGCAATTAATAGAAATTTTACTGCCAGGATTCAAAGCACACAGCGAGTAGAAGTATATAATAAAGTAATCAAAGACAGGCTAACCAGATCTTCATGTTTAACCGAGATTGTTGAAAAAATTCAAAAAATCCTTAATAATCAGTCAAAAAAGACAATTTTAAGTAAATATAAAAATAAAATTCTGACAAGAGGAATGCCAAGTATAATTGATGAATACTTTCCCAGGCTAGATAAAATTTTACAAGAGTATTTAACACCACAAATTCTTCAAAAACAGTATGATCAAATGGCGCAATCACTATGCTATGATGTATTTCTAAATAATGATTAGCAATCTGGAGGTAAGGTTTATTAAGAAAATTACGACATAGCAAAAATAATAAATAACATATTGGGGTGGTCAATAGAAACCAAGCAAATTTATCTAATAAATTTGCTTGTTTTCTATTAACTACCCTATATTATTAACAAACTTCCCTAATATAGATAATAAATGATTCTTATCAGCAATGTTTCGGGTAAAATTATTTTCCAAATCTGAAATATTTTGCCTAGAGGAATTTTAGTTTGCTCTATAAGTCCG